CTGCCATTTTATCGGAGATATCTCGATTATAGGAGGCCAAACCACATCACTGGCCGACTTCCTCTACTTCGCAATTGAGGTGTCGTGTGTGCTTTTTGCGTGGGAAACGAAGAACCGTCTAGACAAAGTGCGTGAAGTGCAACGTCGGACTCTGGATTTCCGGACGTTTCCAAGATTTCCACACGAAGTCAACTTCCGTCAGACGATGCAGGTGGGAAGAGAGACAACTTATAAAGCTGGTGACCAAAAATCATGTAAGTAGAAAAAGAATTTATAACTTAAAATTAGATTTCAAAAAGCTGGCCGCACGCGTGGACTGCGCGACGACATATGGCATCATTCGTCCCCTTGACTTTATTTTCATGACGCCATATGGTGTCGCTCGGCTCTTAAAGGTTAACATCCACCTCAGTTTCCAAGTTTTCCAAAGCCACAAACCTATTTGAGATTTCAACACGATACTGCTCTTTACCCTCTACCTCATTTAATTTCTTGAGATTGAACCTCTCCATATGAACTCTTGTGTGTTGTTCAGTTGCTCACTGCCAGTCTTTCCCTAACCTCTGCTTCCACCAGGTAGTGGTCATTATCACAATCTGCTGCCCTGAATGATCGGACATCAAGTATACTTGAGTGCCGTCTCCTATCTATCAAAATATGGTCTAACTGATTGTGTATCTTCCCATCAGGAGATGTCCAAGTAAATTTATGGATGTTACGATGTGGGAACATTGTACTTTTGACAGTAAGATTTTTTGATGTGGCAAAGTTTACTACTCTAACTCCATTATCATTACTAATTTCATGCAAACTCTCATTCCCAATTGTTGGTTTGAAAATGTCTTCCCTCCCTATTTTGGCATCGAAATCTCCTAACAAAATTTTCATAGGGTACTTCGGGAATTTATCAAATACATGTTCCAGTTCTTCATAGAACCTGCCCTTTATGTCATCAATTTTATCTTCTGATGGGCCGTGAACATTCATAACAATGATATCACACCAGCGACCTTTTAGTATTATATATGATATTCTATCACTAATGAACTCTGCCCTCTTTAATTGCTAATACAATTCTCTTATGTATGAAAAAACCTGTACCTAATTCATGATTTTCATTCCCTCTCCATAGAAAAATGTATAGTCTCCTGCTGGTGCGATGCCACCTCCATCCCATCTGACTTCCTGTACTCCCGCCAAATCTAACTTATATTTTAAGATTTCTTCTGCCACTGCCCTGAGTAAACCTGCCCTTCGAACAGGCTAAGAACTATAAACAAGATAAACAATTTGTATGGCACTGATTGACAGATTAAAATTCCATTAACTTTTTTTATAATATATAACGCACAGTAAAGAGCCCACTACAACGCAGAAGAATACTATCATCTAGGCTGTGATGCTGCGTAATCTGATAATCCAGTTCTATCAGCCTACCCAGAATCATGAGAACCTCAAATCTTACATAACATAATTCTGTCATATCGTGGGTAAAGCTCTCACTTCCAAACAAGTAGCTTAGTGGAGACAGTTTTCTTTCAAAACAATGAACACATTAAATTTGCATCATGTCATTATTACTAACATGGCAACTACAGAGACCAAGGCTTTGGAAAAGGGGTTTCTGAACATTATTTGCAGAAAGCTGCAGCTTCTAGTGTACTGTAACATGTATTCTAATACTGCTGTATGGCATCATTATTATTATGTGCAAAACCTAAATAGTGAACAATTTAATTTATGCTATACCTTTCTTCCTTTGTGTTATACCTTCACTAGATTGCAGTTCATGTCATAATGAATAACTGTACAGTGCCCAAAATGTAAAATTTTGGAAACCCTTAGAGTACTGATGAACTGGGCAGAGTAAGAAAGTAATTAACAATACATCATCTAGAAAATATCAATGTGTTAAAAAAACTTAGTCCATAAAAGAAGGTATCAAAATTATTATAAATCAATATAAAAACTATGAATAATAATACTGTATCACAAAATAATAATGTTAAAGTTTTAACTATTTCAACGTTTCTAAATGCTATATATAAAAACCCAGTTCCTACCTCACACAAAAAACACTGCATCTCCATTACAAAGGCCAACCAGTTAATGATGTTTTGGGAGATAATTGGTTTGTTTATTCTCAGTATCATTAGAACACATAAACACACTCTGTGGGCAAAATAAAATGCCTGAACGTTAAAGCATGTATACACATAGTGACCACTGTGCTTTCGGCGTAAGTATGCACGGTTGTGTTGTTTAACAACACTTTTGGAATTATCATATATAAAATGCCTACAGATACAGGCTAGCCATGATGTGTGCCACATACTGCTTAGCTGTAACTATTTTTCTTCAGTGTGTTGTCATTCTAGTATTTCCACAAAATGACCCATGACCAGTCAGATGAACAATACCCACATCCATCAATTTAGCCACAAGTGCACAATCTATCCAGCCAACTGGCAGTAGCAACACATGCACATTACGTTCATGCCATAAGCACATGGATAATAAACTAATAAATAAAAAACTGAACTGAAAATATCTAATGTGACATCATAAAGTTGCTATGAGAAAAATTATTTTATTTGGTTTAGACATTCCATTTTCATTGGTTTAAAAAATACATGTATGAGCAGCATGATGACAGTTCAATACACTTCCAATCAAAGCAAGGACAAGAGCAACTCTGAATGCAAAACTTATAAAACTTTCAGTTCAAAATGCATTTGACAATATTGTATACGAATTTTCAATAAGTTTTTTTTTTTCATTTTTTTAGTGTACTGTTTACACTTTGTACAGACAACAGCAACTGTAACATAACTCCATGCGGGGTCCTGAAATGTTGTGTGGTAACTTACTTACTCATGGAGATGAGCCCTTCTGGAGGAGCCGCCAATTCTGCAGCTACTCAAGAATTCCCCAGCATTTTATGGAAACCAAAGGTTCATTACCGTGTTCACAAGAGCCCTCCACTAGTCCCTATCCTTAGCCAGATCAACCCAATCCACACCATCCCATCCTATCTCTCTAAGATACATTTTAATATTGTCCACCCCACCTATGGCTTGGTCTTCCCAGTGATCTCTTTCCTTCTGGCTTTCCCACCAATATCCTATACACACTCATCTCCCCATTCGTGTTACATGCCCTGCCCACCTCATCCTCCTTGACTTGATCATTCTAATTATACTTGGAGAAGAGTACAAGTTATGAAGCTCTTCACTGTGCAGTTTTCTCCAACCTCCTGTCACTTCATCCCTCTTCAGTCCAAATATTCTCTTCAACACCCTGTTCTCAAACACGCTCAGTCTATGTTCCTCCCTTAATGTCAGAGACTAAGTTTCACATACATACAGAACCATAGGCAAAATTATAGTTTTGTATATTCTAATTTTTATGTTTTTGGACAGCAGATGAGAAGACAAAAAGTTCTGGACTGAATCTTGTGTGGTAACAGATGTTGAAAAAACAGACAACTTTTATTAGTCATATAAACACAAACTAACAATACAGCTATCCCAAAAAATCTATATATATATTAAGATTTCAGCCTGATAACAATACACTAATGACACCCTGTGGCTAAACATGTGAAATTTTTGTATGGCAATTGATCATAAACATATATATATATATAAATTGTATGAAGTATTCTCCTGTATGTTGAAAACCAGTAACATGGTGACTGCAAAACTGTGATGTTCTATCTAAAAATATTCAAGTAATGGATACCTATACTACTGGAAATTATGAACAAGATGGATCACTGAACTGTACAATTTTTAATTTTTATGGTTTAGTCACGATGCGTGTTGTACTAAGACCTAACCTCAAAATAATGGCCATGCCATAGCTCAAGCGGTTAGTCACTGGCTTCCCACCATGGCAGCCTGGGTTTAATCCCGGGTCTGGTCAAGTGGGATTTGTGGTGGACAAAGTGGTGCTGGGGTGGGTTTTTTCCGAGTACTTCGGTTTTGCCCTGCCAATCTTCACTCTACCAAGTTCTGCATCATCATAATCACCTGGGGTAGGCTACAATAGGCCAATCAGTGGCCGACGTGCCGAGTGGACCCTGTTGGACTCCACCCCCCAATAAGCGAAATTAATAAAAAAAAATAACCTCAAACTAACTGCACATTATTTAGCAACTTTATTGCTATCACTATTAGATAATACAGTAAAATAAATAATGATTTATAAGACAGTGTATAAATAAAGAACACATCCCATACACTCAGCAGCAACCAATAGGAACACTGTCACATACTGCTGCTTGAATATACCTGTATAAAAGGGTAGGGAGAGAATTAAATAAAAGTAAATTAAAACTGTAACTACAATGGATATTGGATGCATTGAAATAAAAAAGAACTACTATCTAGCAAGATAAGATAAGATTACCAGGATTTCTCAAGTAGCAACATGTTGCCTAGGGAGAAACAGCTGTTATTATCAAGCAAGTAAGATGCAGGCTGTTCAGCCTCCCTAAAGAAACACTAATTTTCCAAATACCAGCTGCATATGGAATACAGCAATTATTTTACAGAAATACATCAAAAACTTCAGTACATTTGAGAATCCCTGATACGCAGCATACAGTATCCATGCGGTACTAATAGGGGAACATGTACGAGGAGGCCTGAAACAAATACAAACTACAATAAATTACTAGTCCAGGGGCTAAATGTGAACCTCAGTTTCATCTTGGGGGAAGAATGGGGTCGCCGATATACATCCCCAATTCTTGGTGTGCCAATATAGCTTCCACTGGCACCTGAACCAGGGCGTGGTATGGGGGAGCCAGCCTGTGGACTATCACGTATCCCAAGGGGAGGAGTCATCTGCAAAGCAGAAAATCCTCCACCAGGTGCATGAAAATGCCTGCCTTGGAGAGGTGGTGTGGCATATGGCCCAGGAGTGCTAATGGGATGCTTCTCCACCTGCAGCGCGCTCATAACCACCGCTTCACGATTATGATACCTGAAATAGTAGCCCCAAAACTTTATTCCTGGAATGGTTGTCTTTCTTTGATGGCAAGGTAAGCAGGTAAAGCATGACACATATTGATAAGTTTCATATTCAAAATTACAATTATGTTTAGTAAATAAAAGAATTTTAATAAATTACAACTAGCAAATAAAGTCATGGATAAGTACAGGAATTTAGTATCCTTTATTTTAATATATGAATTCTAGTTCATAATTAAAACTGCCCATTTACAAGGTAAAAGAGGTCTAGAAACTTCTCTGTGGTGCAAGTGTACAGTTTAGCAGTCAACCTTTAAATCACATAGAAGTATTGATGACAGTATCGGAACCCTCCTCTACCAAATATGGATCTCCTACATTGAGGTCATAATTTTTTTTTTGTGTATACACAAATTAATCACTGGAGATATATAAAGCTAAATACTGAATGACACAAAAGGAAAAGTGCATATATTTGAAATCCATAGCTGGAAAAATTGTGGTCAGTGAGGTACTTCTGTAATCTATTCATTTCATTCACTCTAGTCATCAGACTTAGAACTGAGTGATATTTTCTGACTCCCAAACTGAAAAAAGCCCCAGAATTATTTCTTGCAGTTCCAGGGATCATATAAAATATGATGTGAGAACTATTGCCCCCCAAAAGCAACATACTATAGGTGATTCAACAAATGGCCAGTTCTCTGGAATCAATATGTACAGCAGTACGGACAAATTTTATAAAGCCCTGACACTTTTTCAGTAGACCTCCAATGTGAAAGAATATTATAATGATGTACACATTTTCACTAATTTTCATTATGGTCGACTTTCTCTACCTTCTTTTGCATTTCATGGAGTACCTGTTTTGGCTTCACTGATTAACACATCTTTTCCTTATATAATTCAGATTTCTTTGTCATCTAGGTCTCTATTCCAACAAAATTTTAGGTCTCATATTGTCATCCAAATGCTGTATGTGTCCTGTCAAGTTCTTTCTGTAATTCTGTGCATTTTTAATTTATGGAGAAAGCATGTAATTCACTTCTTTCCTCTTTCCATGAATTCTAACACTGCAGTATTTGTACTTTAAGAATAAACTCTATCTTGGCAACCTGTAACCTGCTGATGTCCTGTTCTATGGCCCAGTTTTCTGTCTGAAAATTTTAATTTTATAATCCCCTCCCCCATCAAAAAAAGTGAGTCCCCTGCAGACCACTGCTGGCTGCTGAATATTGAACAACAGTGAAATCCATATGAACCATTAAGCCAGTTTTCAGAAATTTGACATTTCACACTTGGGACCTTAGTGCACACAATGTTATTTTCCTGAATATACCACCTATACAGTATTATCTAGGGATATGGTGTCCATAAATTATTGAACTTTAATCAAAATCATCACATCCATTTTCAAGAAAACTGCCATGTGTTCAGAGTCCCACCTGAAGGACCCTTACATTTGGAGCTGGAATGTTCATATTCACTGAGCAATGACCTAGGATAGAAAAACATCTGAATACCATATATTAATAATATCCATCCACCCTTTCATGTGCTAGGGAGATGCACAACCATACATACAAACTAAATGCATACCAAAAAACACTTTTAGTTAGGGGATTGAAAATGTGCAAATCTATCAAAATCTTGAGACTGGCTTTGCATCATTACAATACTTTCTCACACATACTATGCATACGGGTCAGCAAAATGGATCCAAAATTTTGAAAATCTTTTATGGAATCATAATGCACATTAGGATGATGACAAATGCATACCAGTTTATGTGATAAAGAAAATTTAAACGACAGTGGCATGTCAAATAATTTTACTCATACACTTTACATATTGTCACAATTTAGTGACTAGACAAGGAATTTGAATTTACTGAACACTTATAAACCATAACTCTAATTATAACACTCTCACAAATTCATTCACTCTACTACTCACTATAGCACACGCTCAGTGTTCTTTGTTTGCACTTGCCATTGCCTGGTAATAAATCCCAACAACATCCTCTGCTCACATTCTAACTGGCTGGTGACTGTCTCACAAGTAACTCAAATGTCGCCTCTCTACTTATGACTGACTCACTCTTCTCATCTGTCCTCAGTATATAAGCCTGGCATGGACCATGCATAAAAAATAATTTTCAACTATGTCTTTAATTGTTGCGTGAGTATCCACTGTCGTGGAAATGTGATTACTCAGCTGTTGCGTCAAAATAGACCATGTATTCATGTCACACTGCTCCCTCCCTATGGCTCCTCATCCCAAGTAGCCTATAGGCATACTGACATGTCTCACTTTGTTTGCAGGGAGCCAACTCCTCCACAGTGCCCTGTCACTTGTTTCTGCAGACCAATGGAAGATATAACTGCCAATTTTACAACTTCCAGCCCTAGGGTCTGCCTGATGGTTGACACTTCTCTTGCTTCCCAGGAGAAGCTGCTGTTTTATGCTTTGTTCTCTTATGCCATCGATAAATGCCTTGCTTGTTCCACTATGAATGTGGTCCTCATGTAGTGAAGGAAAGGCATGGTAGGTCATTTGTTCGATGGCAGTGGAAATCTACTGCAGGGATTCACTACTGTCTTGGGTCCATGTTTTCATTGGATTGTGGTACCCTACAGCCAGGTGCCATTCCCCAGAATAGTCAGGTGCCCAGATATTCTCTTGGTACATCACTCCTTTGGGGGCATGCGGTAGCATAGTTGGTTGAGGGGCTAGGCTACAAGCCGGAAGGTCGTGGGTTCAAGTCCCGATGAGGTAATTGGATTTTTTTCAATTGACCCAATCCTTCCAGCCGCACTATGGCCCTGGGGTTCACTCAGCCTCTAACAGAAATGAGTACCAGGAATTAATTAAATAATTTTCCTGGGGAGTAAAGCATGACCAGCGAGTAAGGCTGACAACCTTACCGCCATCTTTGAGCCAATTGTCTAGATAATGTGGGACCCTCAACGTCTCACAACCCTATGGGCCTTCACGGCCTGGTACAGGGATAGCTTTACTTTACTTTTACTTATGTCACTCCTTTAGGGACTTCATGTAGAACACTGGAAAAACAGTCCTGCAGGGCAGCAAGGAGGTGCATGTCTTCTGCATGGGCTACCCTCTCACAGTGCTCCACAACAGCCTCTGACTCTGTGGCCTTCATTTCTTCCAGGCCAGTCCTAATTTTGACTCTTACCTCTTCTTGGTTGGCCTTTATCCTGGAACTCTGTCTTTTCTAGACAGGCATCTGTCACTTCTCAGCAGGCCTTTGTCTCGTCTAGTCAGGCATCTTTCTTGGCCTCAAGCTTTTCTATGGTGGCTACCAGATGTTCCAAATCCACCATGAGTATCTGCCATGTAGGTTTAAATCCAACAGTGCAAAATTTACTGAGTCCAACAATTCAATCCAATCAAATTAATCCCACTTCTTACACCAGCTGTCACATATTAGTGACCAGACATGGGGTTTGGATTGGTAATTGGGGTTACTGAACACTTATAAATCACATTTACAAGTAATTATAATCCCCTTACTAAAATGTGCATTCTCACTACAGCACATGCTAAGTCTTCCATGTCTTCACTAACCATTGCTGGTAATGGATCCCAACAATGTCCTTTGCTTATGTCCTTACTGGCTGACAGCTGTCTCACAACTAACTCAACTATCAACTCTCAACTTTTGAATGACTCGCTCTTCTCATCCATCCTCACTATATAGCCTCACCATGGACCACATGGAAAACAACATCTTTGATCGCCAAATGTGTAACCATTCTCACAGAAATGTGTTTACCCATCCATTATTTCACAGCACATAATCATGTCACAATAAAATTGCATCTATAATGATTTACAAAATCAGATAACAGCTGGTATTTTTAAGCCAGCAGGTATCCCACATTATAAAATTATCTCTGTTCTTTATAATTTCTTCAACAGGGGACCTTAAGGAGACACAGAGCATAGAGTATATATTAATAATTGAGCATATAAATCAGTTGATGATCATTCTTATTCTGGAAGGACAACTTCTGGCCCAATATTTTCTCAACAAGGCATGTAATTAGTTGTGGTTATGAAGGACATTTCCTGCAGACAAAAATATACAAGAAATGGAGATATTTCTCTATTATGATGTGATGCCATGTAGCTTAAGTAGACTGTCATAAACAACGTGGAGGAACCTGCTGCCTTCATCTGCTACCCTGAAGATCAGAGTAACAGGTTCCTCTGAAACACTAATAACAGTCTACCGAACTAGATGGCACACAAGTCCAGAAGATGGACTTCACAGTCCATCTTCACAGATCTTCACAGTCACTGCTGTGAGAACCTCAAAACTCATGTACAAAAAGTATTTCTGAACTTTGTAAGTTATAAGTTTTTGAATATGCTATAGTACATTAGTTAATATCAACGTGATCTCTCTGGTGAACTGTAATTTAACTGCTACTATTAAGACATCTGAAACAAGTATTTCTTCCTGCATTCTTTTATGACTTTAGTACAATGATAATGTGCAAGAAAGTTCATGCAAAGCAATGATATATGAGCTAGATCTTGTACAGAAGGAATCAAGATGGTGCTCTAATGGCTCAAAATTTGAGTCCAGTTTCTTCACAAAAATAATTCAATCCCTTGTGATTTACATTGTAAACTTACTTCATTAGCAGTGCCCTAATATGGGTATCAGACACAGTAGGAAACACGGCGCTAATCTTCGCAACAGACTGCTCTGTGTCAGTGGTCATAGTAGTCTCCACGGTGCGTGCTGGAGAAGCATATGGATTGACAGGTCCTACTGCTCTACCAGGTATGGGACTTGGTCGAACATTTGTCAGATCCTAGCAAGAAAAAAGTAGTGCATTAAGGAACGCTTGTTTCCAAATAACTGGCTAACAAAAGTTACATGTTAAACCAAATCCTTTAAAGAACTAAGGCAAAGAATTAATCCCTTAACTCAGACCTGGAAAAAAGTCAAAGAATCATTTCCCATGTCACACAGTAAATGACTGGACAAATTAAATTCACATTAAAAAAAAAGAACCATATGATAGGAATTTTTATACTGAATGCACAGTACTGATACTGCAGCACATCTGCAGCTAGCTAAAACTGGAATTTTGAGAAAAACACTGCTTCAGATTATAAACCTGCTACTGTTTGCACAATACTGATACTGCAGCACATCTGCAGCTAGCTAAAACTGGAATTTTCAGAAAAACACTGCTTCAGATTATAAACCTGCTACTGTTTGCACAATACTGATACTGCAGCACAGCTGCAGCTAGCCAAAACCGGAATTTTGAGAAAAACACTGCTTCAGATTATAAACCTGCTACTGTTTGCACAGTACCGATACTGCAGCACAGCTGCAGCTAGCCAAAACCGGAATTTTGAGAAAAACACTGCTTCAGATTATAAACCTGCTACTGTTTGCACAGTACCGATACTGCAGCACAGCTGCAGCTAGCCAAAACTGGAATTTTGAGAAGAACACTGCTTCAGATTATAAATCTGCTACTGCTTGCACAAAAATATGTCCTTCCCTTTAGATCTCTATGTATAAATTACCTAAAAGGTAAGGACAGATGGATACGCATTTATATGTTGCTGGCATATCTATTTCTCATATGTCTGGCAGTATGAGGGATCTTCTATCCCATTTTGGACTGGATCCTGAAAGGAAAATCAGGATAACAAGAGTGATTAGAGTCAAGTGTGTCTGTTCTCTTATAAATTTTTAATCAAAATATTTGTTTTCATGAAACTATATAAAGGTCATAAGAGGAGAGGTTAATCTGATCTCATCGTTTCTATATATATGCCTTGCTAATACCAAGGTATTGACAATGAAATCACTGCACTGATGATATGGCCAACAGCATAATTCCAAAATTACCTCCACTTATGCCCCTTCTAACAAAATGAAAACTGTGGCTTACATCAGTTTTCCATAAATAAATATAACATGAAAATTTAAAACATACATTCACTTATGCATTAAACTATCATTCACATCTTTATTGCTTATATTTTGATTTGGCAGCCACTAGTCAATCACAAAACCTTATAAGAAACTATATAGCAGACTAGCAGAAACCATGAAACACAACAGTGGTCATGTGTGAAAATTCAGGCATAATGGCTCTAACCAACAGAAAGATTTAAAATGGTATAAAAATTATAGGCAAATACAGAATGAATCAAACTCCCATAGCCAAATATTAGGAGGCTGCTGAAGAGATAATTTGGAACACAAAATGAATATGAACAGTTGTACAATTTGCAACAGTTTCAGTGTTAGTGTTTCGGACTTTTAGCCTTAATTTTGTGTGTGCAGGTGTGTTCATGCAGTGAAGTCTACATAACATCATAAGACAGAATTCATACTACTCTTATTTAGAGCTTAAGTTACTTCTGATGGCCGAGTAGTGATAACAGCAAAATTACATGCATAATTGACTATTGCGAAGTATTCCAACATGGGTTTCAAACATGACTTTCGTGATGGAAATGCTACAGCTGCATCGTGGAAATACCAGCATCAATATCCAAATCAGAGGCAACTCAACAGACATATGTTGACATGAATACATTAGAGTCTCAGCAAAACAAGTTCACACATTGGTCATGGCACATGAGCACAAAGTGTAGGACGCTGTAAATGCTCAGCCATCAACTAGCACTTGCTGGGTCAGAGATAAACAGGCCTCTCTCAGAGTGCAGTCTAGAGTACACTGAATGGGGAGCAGTTGTATCCTTTCCAAATGCAAATTGTACAAGGTTTATAACCAGGAGATGACAGTCTTTACCTCCAAATGTGTTGATTACTTTACACAAAACTGTAAATGAACCTGACTTCTTGTGTTGTGTATTGTGTATTGATATGGAAATATTTGTAAGGTATGGACAACACGATTTCCACAGCAGTGGGGAATCCTCATGCTGCCTGATGATCTTCATTTCAATGGAGATTAAGGCTCAACATTTGGGCCAAAAACACAGATGCTTACCAAACTGCACCATACATGACAGCAAACTGTCTAAGTGGAATATAATATACTGAGTTTGCTGTTAGTACTCTTCCTCTTTTATAGGAGTATGTAGCCCTTAATGTTTGCGTGGGCATGTTGTTTCATCGCAATAGTGCCTCTCACCACTTTTCACACCAAGTATATAACTGATTAACAAATATTTTCCAGACATATGGATCAACCATAGGGGTTCAATCGTCTAGCCTCCACATTCTCGTCTGGATCCAGTTCATTTCTTGTCACACAGATGCAGCAAAGAAAATAGTTATGCTATGGAAGTACAAGATAGCAATGACCTTACGAATCACACTCTGACAACTGGAATAGATATCAGGGGGTCAACCTAGACAACTGGTTCATGTCACAGCCTCCATATGACACTGCTGTGAAGCATGAATGTGAGCTGTAAGAGGTAGCTGTGCACAGTTCCTGTGAAAGAATGCAAAGAACTGCATGCCAGTCACCACTGCACAGTCAGACATTTGCAAAAACATAATGTAAAATCCAAACTGGAAAAAGCTAACAACTTTGGAATCTTTGCTTTTCACTCACTGTAATTAAAAGTACATGTTAAGTGGGTCCCTTGTCACCACAGTACAGAAAACTAGAATGTGTATTCAATCAATTTTGTCAGAACCATATGAAAATTTTCTTAGGAGTTTTAAATGCCAAAGTAGGTAGAGAAGATATTTTAGAAACAAAAATTGGGAATGAGAGTTTACACAAAATTAGTAATGATAATGAAACTAGAAAAGAAAACTTTGCCACATCCCAAAATCCATTTGTCAAGAGTACAATGTTAGCATCTGGATCTTTCACAGGAGCAGACTCTGATACCTATCACTATCTGGTGGTACAAGAGTTAAGGAGGGATTGATGATATGTAAATAAGCAATGCAAAAGTTTGATATGGAAAGATTCAATCTCAAGAAACTAAACAAAGTAGAAGGTAAAGAACAGTATCAGGTTAAAATCACAAACATGTTTGAAGCTTTGAAAAACTTAGATGATGATATCAACAGAACATGGGAAGCTGTCAGACAGAATACAAACATTTCAGCAAAAAAGAGTTCAGGTTATAATGAACCGAAGCAACGTAAGACATAGATCAATGAAGAGCAGATTAAATTCATGTAATGCTTGCTACAATTCAGTTCAGATCATTTTGTCCTGTCTGCTGTCTAGAAGCATAAAGATTAAAAGTATAAAATACTATAACTTTGCCTATAGGTTTTTATGGGTGTGAAACTTGGTCTATGACATTAAAGGACACAGAATTTGAGAGCAGGGTTCTGAAGGGAATATCTAAACTGAAGAGGTATGAAATAAGAGGAGACTGAAGAAAACTGCATAATGATGAGTTCCACAACTTGCACACCTTACCAAATATACTTATAATGATAAGTCAAGGAGAATGAGATAGGCAAGTCATGTAGCATGCATGGGAGCAGTGAAGCATATACAAGATTTTAGTGGTTAAAGCAGAAGCAAAGAGTCCACAAGGAAAACACAGAAGCAATGGAGGTTAGTATTAAAATGGATCAGAGATAAATAGGATAGGGCATGGACTGGATTCATCTGGCTTATGATAGAGACCTGTGGCTGGCTCTTGTTCACACAGTAATGAACCTGTAAGTTCCATAAAATGGTGAGAAATTTTTGAGTAACTGAATGACTGTTGGCTTCTCAGGACTTGGCTCCATGGAGTTACTTATTAAAAATAATGAATAAAGATGTCAAATATAAACAGCCAAATGCATGCATGAATAGATAATTACTTCTTAAGAAGTTGTGAAACCTGATAACTTGATGAGTGATGAATTAGACAATTTATTTATATTTTTGTTCCAAATTATTTCCATAACAACCTCCTAAAGTCTGGCACAGGACAATGAATCATTCTGTATATACAAAAAAGAAAGAGACCAAGGCAAGGAACTCCAACAATACCGTAATATTTGTAACATGAGAAGACAATCAGGAACCACTACAGAAACATAATAATTATAACAAGGCCACAAAAATATGACAATCCATTATTAGCAGTGTGTGCACTGTTCAATTCAAGACTATAACTTCTGTGTTGCAGTACTGAGCTTGGGGAAAGCCTTTCAACCCATTATAATTAGGATACTGGTATCACTAAAAGACATGGTTAAAAACCTAAAAGGAAGGGACACTCGGAAGATCAGGATATATACTGGATCATATTAAAATGGACATAAGGAAAACGACAAAGATGCGGACTGGATTCAACTGGTTCAGGATAGACGTGTGAGAGATGCTCTTGTGAACATGGCAATGAACCTCCAGATATCACAAAAGGTACAGAATTTTGTGACTTGTTAAGCAACTTTTAGGTCCTCAAAGCTGTTCAAGACAGGATAAGTGACCACCCAACATTATCCATTGTTCCCCTGTGGACTCTCCTCATGGACAAGGCCACCAAGCTCTGAAAGCAACTGTACAAATATACCATACACAGCCACTAGCTGCATCACTCATCGCATCAATCCCTGAAGATGGTAACAAAGACAATATCCAAATTGCTGGAAATTCATCCATAATGATGCACTGATATGGCTGATCGCCCAAGGGTGCTGCATTACATTCAGCTGCTATGAAAAGCTTAAAATCTTAGTATGTCTGTCTTACTTTACAGTTTTACCATATATGCTGTGACATCTTGCACAGAAGCAAACACTCTCTCTTCTAATTCTGGAATATGGACAAGAAACATAGCTTACCACAAGCATGGAGGCGGAACTCCGTGTGGCTTATGGTGAAGGGATACTTTACACCCTAAAACAGTATTAAGCTGAATATATAATCATAGTGTCAGAAAGGAGACTGCAGTACTGACATCATAATAAAGACACAAATCAGAAAATGCATAAATTTGGTTAGGTTTGTTCCAACTGCCAACCATGACACCTGACATCTGTACATGTCTGTTCACTTAATTACCAATCAGTTTATAACGTATAGCTGCAAAATGGAATGAAATTGTTAGAACAGGAAAAAGAATAGACAAACTATTAAACTTTACACCAACTTTCATACAAGAATGACCAGGTTACTTTCATCCCAACAGAAACACCCTGCACTTAATCCAAGTTCATGGTTATTTCAGCGACTATAAGATAGAAGGCTTTATAAAATATGCATACAGATAATGAGTACAGTGAAGTACATATGGTGTTTAATGACATGCATTCAATAGATTTAAAGAAAACTAATTTCTATTTTAAAGCATAAGACTACTTCAGGTAGGAATGGAGCATGCACTGAAATTTCCCACTTAAATTTCCATGGTGGTGAATGTGTTAAGTAGCAACATACACTACCAGAGTTATCACTGTCTCTAAGTAATAATTCCTGCTCCAGGTCTGAGCAAAAATGTCAATTTACAGCATAGATATACATGCATAAAACATTTACCTGAAAGTACACTGATGGATGGCTATATGGGGCTGGACTTTGGAAAGCTGGTTGTGGTGGGTACTGGGAAGAATTTGAAGGGTACACATGGTAACCTCTGGAATCTGGAGATCCGTGCTGTTGTCAAAGCCAATGGTGAGATGCAAAAGACAAGGACATATCATTAGCAGATGACACACACATTAGAATAGCTAAAACACCAATAAGGAAACTGTTACATAATTTGAAGACAGAAAAGTCTGTAAAATGTTAATGTCAAAATCAAAGTTATTACAGTAATTCATTTTTGTTTAACATCAATTGATTACAGTGAAACCTATGGTGGCCACCCATGACTTCACTCAAACCCACACAACTTGAGCAAGTGGATAGCTTACAGAAATAAGTCTTACAGTTTCCAAATTTTGCACTTACAGTGAATACATATATGTGGTGTGTTCAAAAAGTATCGAACCTTTGGTCGGCAGAAATACATTTATTGATTTGGAGGTACAAAGCCCTAACCCCCTTCAAAGTAGTCTCCTTGGTAATGCACACACTTCTCCCAGCACTTCCACCATTGTTGGAAACACTTCTGGAACGCGTCTTTTGGAATGGTGATCAACCGGGCTGTCGCATTCCACATGATGTCTTCTCTTGACTCAAACTGAGTTCCTTCCAGTGGCATTTTCAGCTTGGGAAAAAGCCAAAAGTCACATGGAGCCATGTTGGGGGAGTAGGGAGCCTGACGAACCACAGAGATGTTGTTTGGCGATGAAAGTCTGATCACATGCGCAGAATGGGCGGGTGCGTTATAATGATGGAGCTGTCAAGTTTTTGCTGCCCACAGATCTGGTCGTTTGCGCCGCACAGCATCACGAAGGTGATGAAGGACCTCCTGGTAGTATCCCTTTGTGATGGTTTGGCCCTGTGGTGCGTACTCATGATGCACAACCCCACGGGAGTCAAAGAAGATGGTCAACATGACCTTGACATTGCTGTGGACCTTCCGTGCTTTTTTGGTCTTGGGGATGTCGGATGTTTCCACTGTGATGACTGCATCTTAGTTTCTGGGTCGTACTCATAAACCGACTCATCACCTGTAATCACGGTGTTTAGAAAGTTGGGGTTACTGTTTGCATTGTCCAGCATGTCCCGTGCGATTTCCAGATGGCGTCGCTTCTGCTCCATTGTTAGCAGTTTCGGTACGAATTTCGCAGACACTCTCCTCATGCCCAAATCCTCGGTCAAAACTGAATGTACCAATCTAATGCTTACCCCTATCCCATTCGCAAGTTCTCGGACTGTGATACGACGGTCCTCCATGACCAAAGTCCGCACTTGCTCAATGACATTCTCATTTCGGCTTGTTGAGGGTCTGCCTGAACGCAGTTCGCTGTCCACTGATGTGCGGCCATCTTTGAAGCGGTTGTACCACTCCTTTATCCGTGAGTTGCTCATGGCATCGTCCCCGAAAGCCTGTTGAATCTTGCAAATGGTTTCCACTTGGGCAAAATTTGATGCGATATCACTGCTCATGTTGTTCCGTCATTTTACACCTTACTGGAATCTGACAAGCACTCACTACACGTCCTCACTCATAGGCCAACTGCCAGCGACTGACACTTTCTGCAGGCGGGAAAAAATTCATGACTGCGCATGAATGTCCCCTCCACATCTCCACTGAAGGGAGCCTCCCGCGCTTCACTGTTTTACGTGGGGAAAAAAGACGGCTCAATACTTTTTGAACACACCATGTATATGACTAATCTACTGTGTTACTTCAGCCACTACAGAAGTTTCGTGAAACACTTTACTGTATTCTGTTTCACACACATACCAATGGGCTACATACTTAACATCATTAAAGGCTCTAAAATGAATTTGGCAGAGATATTTCTATTTATGAATTTTAATTAATTTCAAATAAAAAAGAGTAAAAAGCGTGTTTAGCAGGCACATACAAGGGACAGATGCATGGTGTGGGTTTTGTTTGTACAGACTGGCATAAAAATCTATTATTTTTCTGTAAAGCCACCATATAATGAATAGAATATGTATAAAACCACAGCATGAAATTCAAGGTGGCCAAGATTCAAGATAAACAGATTTCTAATATACTAAGATAAGCTGGTCATGTGTAGATTAATACAATTTTGCCAGTTCCATATAAATGAATCTAATTATGACTAATGACTGACACAGGTGTGGCCAACTTCACTGTTTCACTGTACAGTGTTAAGAGCATCCTTACTGTAATAATGAACATTAACAAATTAAACATAATTACTTTATATGAAAATCAAAGTTTCATAGTCATAAATAGAAGTCATCAGAACAACTAACTACATAACATAACATAACCTTCTTTAATAAACCTTTGAATCAAAATGTTTATAAACTAACTAAAGCAGCCCATGTAAAGTGCATCATAATGAAAACTACTTTCCTGATTCTTGATGTTTCTGGGCACAAAAGGTAAAGTTCATAGCAGACAGGTTCATGGAATGCTTGCTACCTGCCAGTTCAGAATCTCTGTTTTCCCACCTCCTATCTAAAAACATTAACCACATACAAATTAAAATATACAAAACTACAATTTTTTTCCGTTGTTTTGTATGAGTGTGAAAAATGGTCTCTCACTCTGAGGAAGGAACATAAACTGAAGGTGTATAGGAATGGGGTGCCAAGGAGAATATGAACTGCAGGAGGAAGCTAGAGAAAACTGTAGGACAAGTTTCATTTTCTCTGCCAAAAAGGGAACACACATTACGAGACACGATATACACGGTGTATAAGAGGAACAACTCCCACAGTGGAGGAACCATGTGCGGGTTTGAATTGGGACAAATAAGATGAATATCTTAACAAGATTTTAGTGTATAAAAATTTATTATAATTGACAAATATTTTTAAATACTTTTTAAATAATTTTACAATGACATAATGGCAAGCAATGCAATAGATTAGCGTAAATGGAGCACCTGATGATGGCACTATGTTGCCAAAACATGTTGTGAAATAACAGGTGAAATTGAGTGCACTACAAGACGGACACAGCATACATATCATGGACGAAGTTATACTATAAAAAATATTGTAAGATACTAGTGAGAGTAATAAGAGAAGCGGAGAGACTGTATTATCAAAAATTAATAAGTAACTCAGAAAATAAAATACAATTAACTTGGAAGATTATCAATAAAGAAACTGGAAAAAACCAGGTCTCGGATAAAGTAACAAAATTGCAAGTGGGGAAAAGTAAAGTAACTGATCCTTAGGAATTAGTGAGAACATTTAATAAATATTTTACAACTGTAACCGAGAATTTGGCAACAAAAAATGCTGATTAAATGAGGCAATTAAATTATTAAATACTCTTAAGTATGATAACTTGCCTGAATTGAAAGTAATACCCATAACTGAGGTGGAAATAAGGAACATACTTAAGCCACTAAAATCGAAAAACTCTACAGGTTATGATGGTATTTCTAGCAGAATATTAAAATATAGCACTGATCAAATAAGTAAACCACTTGGACATATACTTAATGCATCACTTGAACGTGGAATTCTTCCTGATAGAATGAAATTTGCATCAGTAAGACCTATACACAAAACAGGTGAGAAGGTCGTTATGGCAAATTATATACCAATATCACTGTTAATAATCTTCTCCAAGATATTTGAAAAAGTGATGTATAACAGGATAAAGCAGCACTTACATACAAATAATCTAATTTCATCTGCTCAATTTGGATTTACAGAAAATAGAGTATGGAAACTGCAATCTATGCTCTAACTAATCATATATTAGAAACTTTGGAATGACACCGTCATTCATTAGGAATTTTCTGTGACTTGACAAAGGCATTTAATTGTGTGGTTCACGATATCCTTTTGAGCAAGTTGGCAGCATATGGACTTGGTGGTAAAACTTTAACATGGCTGAAGTCATATTTGGGAAACAGAAGGCAAAGAGTGGAATTGTATACTAATGGGAATGAAAAATGTTGTTCAGGATGGGAGATTGTTGAATATGCAGTGCTGCATTTTGGGTCCCTTGCTGTTTCTTTTATATATCAATGACCTGTCATCAGCATTAAATACTGATAATAAGTTATTGTTGTATGCAGATGATACAAGCATATTAGTATCAGGCATTATTGATCTTGATGAAATTCAAGTAAGGTCTAACATTGTGTTGAATTCTTTAAGCCATTGGTTTGCATGTAATGGCCTCTCTCTAAATCTGAAAGAAACTAAAGTGTTAAAATTTGATACAATTAATTGAGATAATATGACTATACATTTAAAGCTTAATGATGAGATATTGCATAAGGAAACCCCCCTTAAATTCTTGGGCATTGAAATTGATAAGACCCTGAATTGGAAGTCACAGATTGAATCGATGTTGTCTAGATTGGGCAAGGCATGCTTTGCAATAAGAAACATGAAATTGTATAGCAATATTGAAACACTAAGGATGATTTACCACGCATACTTTCATTCAATTATGAGATATGGGATAGTATTTTGGGGAAACTCATTGGAGGTTAAGAAGATTTTTCTTTTACAAAAGAAGGCCGTCAGGATAATGATGGGAATTATACCCAGAGAATGATGTAGAACAGTTTTTAAAAAATTAAAAATTCTGACATTGGCCTCTCAATATATTTTACCTTTAATGATACTAATGATAAACAATTTGGGGCATTATACTTTTAATCATACAATTCATGGTAAATCAACAAGACAAGTTAGAAACCTACATGTTCCTCAATCACATCTAAGAGGCAAAAAGGGGTCTATTGCATGAGTGTAAAAGTTTTTAATAGGTCACCAGATTTTTTAATTGAGTTAGTACATTATAAAAAAAGGTTTATTGGGAAACTAAAGGATATATTGCTTCAAAACCATTCTTATACTGTTGAGGAATTCTTGCTTTTCTGTCAAGACCTACAGCTAAGGAAAAGAGGTGTCTGACAGTGCACACTTCACTAAACACTATGTCCTTGGCTGTGCTTATATATACTTGCTGCAATTTGTATTGCCTTTTAACTATTGTATGTGTTTTTGACAAGTATGGATTATATATGCTAGTGATTTTATTTGTGAATGTATAAGTGTCCAATGTT